GCGCCAACGGGGAATTTTCGGTTGCCTTCCATCTTCCGTCGTCTCCTCCTTCCCCGCCTTTTCCTCATCCTTCTTTCTGTCTTCCATTTTCCTATTCTTTCTTTCCTGCATGTCCTTTTCCTGTTTCCCATCCTCCATCATCTTTCCTTACATGTGCATCCTCTCTGTCCTACGACCAACAGTGTTGAAGCTTGCATCAGTTACAGGATTTGCAGCATTGTAGAGAGGACGGCTTCTTTTTCATGAACCAGGCTCGACCCCGATTAGGGAAACGTTTCTTGTTGAATGGGCGCATTGCGTGGCATATTGTTTGGCATATTGTCTGGTATTGCGATGCAGTGCTCAGTATTGCGTGGCATTACTTGACATTTCTTGGTATGTGTTTGCATTTCGCGGCGCTGATTGGCGTTATTCGGCGTTGCGTTGCGTTGATTCGCGTTGATTGGCATGGCGTGGCGAGGCAGCAAGGATCCGAGACCAAGCAACAAAGGAATACAACCAAGGAACCAAAGACAAAAGCACCCATGACCAAGGAACCAAGACCAAGGAACCCCGAAGATCGCCGGCCTGCGCAGTCCTTTCTCCGAGGAACCCCGAAGGAACCCCGAGGGACCCCAAGCAGCCTGGACCAAGGCACCCACTGGCGTTCCAAGAACAGGTCAGAAACCTGCAGGCACAGCCTGACTGGGACAAGTGGGGCTCTCGCGTTCGCGCCGTGCACATTTTTGCTGCACATCTTGCAGCAATAAGGGTTCGCAGGGCTCTTCCTTTTTAACCTGAGGCTCTCGCTCGAGACTTCCTCGACTCCAGCGACAAGAAGCTTGAGCACAGATAACAGTAACACATCCGGAATCGCCCTCGCGCAATATTTCTCGCTTGTAGCCACCAAACGTATAAACGTGCATGACTTTTGACGAGGGGGCCTGGACGTATAATTGCAGCTTCGCTGAGCTGATGCATCCTCGGCTTATCCGTAAGGGCTTCGCCCCCTGCCGCAGTCCCCTTCTCTTGGAAAATGGGGCATGCAATGGCTATGTTGTGAGGCCTGGGCGCCGTCGTGAAGCAGCGTCGGAACTCCGAACCGGGGGCACTTGAGATATCCAGATGCATGTTGTGTAATTTTCGACAGTATTGCCTCGGAGACGCGACGATTGTGTCATTTACAATGAATTATGTTTGCGGGAACGCGAAAACAGTGTAGTTTACTAAGTTGTATGGCCCCGGGGATGCGAATATTGTCAAATGCACTAGGTGTTCTGGCCTCCTGGGGCGCGAATACGGGGTGCTTTACGAGGGATTACGGGTTCGGGGACGCGAATCTTCTCGTATCCTGACTTGCCCCAGGACCCCTCAGGAATATTAAGTCTCTTCCAGGTGAAGGTGACCGGGGCTACCCACCTCGCGCGGACTTCAACAATTCACAGTAGGAAGCAGAACGCTGAATTGTGACATCGGAGTCTGGAGGCTGCAACTGGAGCAGGGAGCAGCCAGCTTAAGCTGCGGAGCTTGATGGCCCCGCAAAGGTGGCCAGCGGGTTATGGTCCTCTTCTTCCTTTTTTGATTTCTCACCCTCAGTTTCTTCCTCCCTCCTGTTTCTTCTCTGCTCTGCCTGGTCTTCCTCCTCTTCCCCCTCCTTCAGGGAAGCGAGCTGGAATGCTTAAGGAAGTTCAATTACGAGAGTTGGACAGCTTCCTCCGGAGTGTTTTTCCCCAGGAATGCAACAACCATGCAGGCTTTTTACAGCAATGTTCTGACGATGGGCATTGGGTTTCGACCTGTAGCTCCCGGAATGGCAAGAGGCGCATGGATATTGTAGTTTATCATTTGGCAACCCTGAAGTTTCATTCGAGCTCATCTGGTCGGGCAATCAAGCTCGATCTTCCTTTGCCTCGCATTTACATGCGCTGCACATGTGCGCATCTGTACCACCACAGCGATCTCCAGCCGTACCGGGAGAGCGTTTAGGACAATTTCTGCATTATGTGAGGGCTTATTTGAGGGAGGTCTTTTATTGATGGGGGCTGACGACCAAGATAGATTAGGAGTTGCAGAGTATGGGAACCACCTGTTTGGAGATTTTGTGGGGCCCCATGGCGAACTGCACGCAGGAGCGAAGGGCCGGCGCAACTTGGTGGCGGTGAACACGTACAAACCAGCAGGACCCGACCAGCAGGACCAGCAGGACCCGAAAGGAGCTGGCGCTCCAAAGCACATGCCGCTCCGCCGAGCTCGCTGCAATCGCCACCGATCATATATGCCTTGTTTGGGGGATTGGCGCAGCCGTTTGCGCCGACAGGGAGAAGCAACGCAGAGCGAAACGTTCGACCAAACCTTTGTGAGGGAAGCTTGCCGACTTTGCTTCTGCGTCTGTGGTGGGGGACCAGCTCACCATTACTGGTGCGCTGACGGTCGCGATGGAGGTTACAAAAGGAGTTCGAGGGCACCGCGGTGCACATGTTCACCGACGGGCTTTGCAGGTACCATCGCCGACGGGCTGCTGTCGCTTCGTGGGGATTCGCAGTCCAAGGATAGGGGGCACATGTGGGATGTGAGATTCCCTGTTGTCTGCTTGTGGGCCTGTGGTGATCGATCCAGAGGGCGATTCATACGCAGGGGCCCAGCGGTACTCGAACAATATTGGCGAGTGCACAGCAGCAGTGGCGGCATGCTTGTTTCTTCTTTCAACCCGGACCCAGGCGAACTCACACAATTACGCCGTGATGGCGAGCGTTCGAAACATCGTTTTCTAATTGTATGATTTGTTTTTGATGGGGATTTCGACGGCGAAGTTCCGCTCAAAAGAAAATATGGCGCGTGAGACGTTGATGGAGCACCTCTTGGAAAGGTTACCTTTCGAGGTCACGGTCAAAACCGTCAAAGTGAAGTCACTCACTGGATTGGCGGGGGCAACGCAGAAGCCGACCGGTTGGCGGAACGCGCAAAGGATCGTCATGATTTTAGTTCTTAGTGGCGACGGCCGTGTCGATTCGATGAGTGGGGCGAAGAGGTGTTCAGGAAACGCATGGGAGAGGATTTGAGGACGAATGGGGGATCCGCAAGCCTCCAGACGAACTTGATGAAGGTTAGGTTCATCGGCTTCGAGGGCGTGAATCCTTCCATTTCTGGTGGTTACGCAGGTGATGTTTTCCGTGGCCCAGTTTTATGGACGGGTGCCTTGATGTGGCCAGCCTGTCACTGCAACTATCAAACAGGAGAGGGGCAAGTTGTACCACGTACAGCGTCAATCGATGATGGACCTGGAATTCGCATCTCGAGCCCTATTCAAAAACACGGCAGTCAAACAGCGGAGGTGTATCCGAAGATTTCAGTTTGACGCTCAGGTCTCCGAGGCCTTGCGCCCCTCTCGGCCTGTCGAGAAGTTCAAGAAATCCGTCGCGTCGTTTTTTCCGGGGCCCCATGCACGTCCGAGTTGGCGTTTGACGACGACATTAAGGAATGGTTTATTGATAATTTCGCGGGGGTTTGACAATAGCGACAGCTCTCTCAAAGACCCCGCGCCGCCTTGGAACCGTCAATCATGGCACACATGCTTTGGATTGCTTCCAGCGGTTTGACGGAGTCTCGTGCGGAGAAAGTCCCATCGTGTCAAAGCCAGTCGGTCATGTGTTGGAACAGTTGGAAGTTTTTGCGTCTGATTCGACAACATGAATATATTCAGTGGGTGAGTATGCCTGTCGAATCTTACTGGAGGGAACGCAGGAAAACAGTGGCATTCACATGACTCATCTGCTCTTGGTCATTTGTCGTCGTCGTCCATCGCCCATCAATCTTCATCGTATTGCCGTGGGGCGATTGGCTTGTTCGCAGCAGCGTCTGGCTGCATACAGCGTTTGGCTGCTTCGGTGGCTTCTTGCGCGTAACTCTGCACTGCAGTTTCACGGGTCCTCCTCGAAGGGACAGCGTGCTAAGCACGCCTGTCGCTTATATTCGGGCCGCCTTTCGGGCCGTTGGCAGCTGCGTGCTGCGTTCAGCGTCCGGTCATGCGTTGATGACAACGCCGCCATGGAGATGGCTACCTCTTTCGACAAATATGCACTCGATGTGTTGGCTGACGTGCTGACGCTGTGATGGCTCAGTCATGCCAGCGAGTTCAATGAGATGGCTTGGGAGGGTGTCGTGCAGCTGCGTATTCTGACAAAGGAAGAGCCCACGCACCCGCCAAAGCTGCGACCCATCGCAATCATCCCCGCTTTCATGATGCGCTTGCAGATATTTTGGAGATCCTGAGCGTGGTGCAGTCTGGATTTCGTCCTAAACTGCAGGCCTTTGATACCACAGCCAATCTTCGGAACCTGGTGGAGAACGCATAGAATGGCAATTCGTCAGCCCTCGCGTTTTCGCGTTCGACGGGGGCGTTCCGAGGCGTGCGACATAGTGAACCGTTTTCTGGGTGCCCGCCGCCATGCGCAGGAAGGTTTGCACGAAGTCTCAGGGACCGCGCCTTTCTGGGAACTGCGGGGGCTGAAATCCCATACGGTCCCTCGCACCGGGTCTGTCTGCCGAGGCGGGGCCTGGCGCCCCGTGGATTGTCGAATTCACTTTCGACGTCGATCTGAACGGCCACCAGGAAGAATGCTCCAGCAAAGGATGAGCGTCGACGGGGAGGTCTGCGGCATTCGTTGTTTCGTCGGCAATCTCTGGGCTCTTGGGGTGGCGCTGAACATTCCACGGCAGGTTGTGCAGGTATTCATGGACAGACTGCCGCGAGCCGGGCGATCGGCCCTTCTCGGAGGGCGTTCGCGGTGCCCGACCGCTCGGGCCGACGAGGCGAAATCTATTGAGAATCTCAACGGTCAGGATCTGCTCGTCCTTGGATGGGCCCGAGTTCAAGGCCCTCGGCGCCGCGATTTTACAAGTGGAGGGCGCTGTTCGCAGGCGAGGCCGAGTCTCTGGCGAGGATGTCTCAATTTCTGAACGCGCCTGTCAGACTCTGTCTGCCGCGGAGGGCGGGCGCGCGGGGCCCCCCTGGTGCGCCGGGA